CATGCCCAACATTCAGCCCTGAGCTGTGATTTACGCTCAAAAGCATGTATTTTAGCACTGCTGCATTTCAATGCAAATGCAAGCATTTGACAGCAAACGTTATGTACACAAGCTTCTATAGTAAGCATAGTCATAAAACCTTAAATACCTAAATGACCCCCCCCCCAACTAATCTTTTTGTATTTTGGTGAAGAACCTCTACTAGGTTTCCCCAGACCCCAACACTCTCTAGCAGAATCACCTCATATGGAAGCAGGCTGGCTGAAAAACCAAAAAAAGTTCTCAGCAAGTCACAATTTTTCAATGGCTGATGGGGATGGAATTAAAGAAGAACTCGGGCAAACATTTTATTAACCCTTGCAGTGGGCACTCCACCCTACCTTTTGCGTCCTCACAGCTTGAAGGACCGGTCTATAACTAAGCCAGCTCAGAGGATCAGCTGAGTATAACTTTTTTTTATTTTACACCCTAGACCAAAATGAGCAGTTAACTTTTCCAGTGTGGGGTAGCCCCACTGCAAGGATTAGTCAAAATTTAGTTTGGACTGTAGAAGATACAGCTGCGACAATATCAGATTCCCTGTACCCAATAGCTCCACTCTCACATTAATGTTGTAAAAAAATTAAACAACCTTTGTCTTCCCTTCCATTATTTTTCTGTTACTATGACGCTTACTGGAAATGTAAACTGTCTTGAATAGAAAGGTTCTTGGAGGGCTTGGGTAGAAAAGTAAGGGCGACAAACATTTTGCTCAAAGTCACAAAATTCCAGTTATACTTCTGCATAGGGTTGTACAGATACCAGATCAGATACCAGTGCCGATACTTGGCATTTTCATAAAAACTACCAGAGTTGCAGAGGTTGTAGCTGGGACCTGGCTCTGGCGCTCCACCACTGTCCTGAAATCATTAGTCTGTATTGTGTTAGAAAAACTGTCACATGACAATAAACATAAATGTATCAGTACTTGTTTCTGTGAGTACTTGGGCAAGTATCAGTACTTGTACTTGTACGGTGCATCCCTAATATATATTTATAAAAACAAAATCATACATTAAAACAGAGATGTACAAATCCCAGGAGCTCCATCTGCTCCTTACAAATCTGCCTCCTAACTTTTGAATTTTTCTCTAGTCTAGTCTTGGAGCTCGAAAAGTATCTGTACTTTTAATTATACAGAGTATGATACTTGGTATCGGCGCATCACTACTTCTGGACGTCATTAAAAGTTTGTTAGAGTTTTAGACACAATCTTCATTAGACAAAAAGATCAGCTTTTTATAGAATAAAGCTTCAAATATTTTGATCATAGGCATGTCATCCATATACCCAGATAATGACTTAGTAGCTATTATGTTTACACAATTCAAGCAGCACAAAACAATTTCCACAAGCCGAGGAAAAGATTCCACATGTTGATCTGAAAAATTACATAGCTGTCAATCCACAGACTTTCATTTTATTCTATAACAAAACACCTACTGGACCAAAACAGCATTACTCTAAGGCTCATGAATACACGTGAGGCCTGATTCCTTTATTATTGCCATGCTTTCATTTCTTGACAAAAAAGATTTACTTTACTTATGGCTTTGGAATAAAACAGAATGCAAAAATAACCCAAATATTACTAATGTACTATCAAATATGAAATATCAAATCGAAGCACATGGATAAAGGCAATCTCTTTGGAGGATATAAAAGATACGTATCTAGCAACTAGTCCTAAAGTATTTTCAAGTTCTATCCAACAATAAGACAACAATAACTTATTTTTCAATAACATTAGTTTGATGTTTTCGGCTACTGTAAAAACTGATTTCAGCCTTCACTTCTGCCTTATGCACATGTGTGTGTATATATATAATAAAAGAAACCTGTATATTACTTTTTTCTACATTTATTATATGTATAGTACAGCATGTTCTTTCTCTTCAACTTTTGCAGTCAGATTTGATAACACCCATCTATGATTGTTCTGTGATCCTATTCACACATCATAAAGAAAAATTATTTGAAAAAATATTTCTTACCTTTAAGATGTTTTGCTAAATCAGGCAAAATGGCCAATTCTCAGCACCTTCACAGTGATCTGTCCTAATGGAACGGCTTAGGACTGAAATTTGGGGATTGTGTTTTCTCTCATTAACTTAATTAACACAAAAATACAATGGAAAAAACACCTCAGACCCCTCACAGCCTCTCCTAGCATTGCAAGGAAAGATACACAAGTAGAAATGTTAACCCTGAAAACCCTAACCCAAGTAAAAGCAGTTTAACTGCCTCCGGGCCGGCCGTAGTAAAAAAACGGCCGGCCAGGAGCTCTCTAGGTCAAAATCATTTTTAAAATATGTTTTAACATATGCTATGTGAATGGGAACATGTAACAAATATAAAATGGGTGTTATCCCAATTTGGCTGCAGTTTGGAAACACACTTTAAGGTCTTAAAAAAAACAAAAACCCAAAATAGCTTTTTGGCTTTAGATATACTTTATTTAATTTTGGATAGAGCAGGTAAGATGTTGCCTCTTTGCTCCAGTTACCATTGTTTCTAGGACAGAAAGTAATGAAAAATCCAAAAAGTATAAAGTTGCTGCTGGAACTTAAATTGAGGGGAAATCAGGTGATCTAATGGAACTAAAAAGTAGGTTAAGTCACATCAATGTGACTTTTTTGTAACAGAGCAATGATAGAGTAAACTATGCATTTTACTTATGCAGAACATTATTCCTCTTTCAAATGTACATTGCAATGCACGCAGGGGGAAAACAAAAGTTTGTGTAAATTGTTAACGTAAGCATCATTGTTAGTGTTAGCGTAATTTAGGATTAAGTCAGGTTGACCAGGGCACAGATTGGCACAATAATGACTTTGTCACAAGTTTGCAATCATTATCATTAAAAACTTGAATGACATTGTGTTCATTTACATTGATGCTTGTGCAGTGTGACAAATGTCATCCAGATAATCTGACATCATTTTTGAGACCTAGGGATTCTTTTTGAGTGAATATTATTTTTTATTATTAGGATACAATTTTTTTCTTTTTTTTAAAGTTTTTTTTATTTCATTTTTTTTTCTTCATGGGGATCTGGATCTAGTCATTGGATACCAGATCTAGATTCCCCATGCAGCTGTACAGCAGCAGATCAATTTTCATAGTGATCTATTGCTGGCTGAAATAAACTATCAATACATCACTATAGCAGTGATCTGCTACTGTATAGAGAGGCTGGAAAGAGCAACAACAGCTCTGCTTGAGGCTCTGAACTGACAGGAAGTGTGGTGACATCACTTGTGTGGAAGCATATAATTTACCGTTCGCTTCTATAGCACACTCATATGGAATGACCCATAGAAGCTCAGGAAGCCCAGGAGATGATCATTTCAATACTTTTTTTAGTAATTGATCCAGAATAATTATGCAGTATTCACTCTAGAAATAAGCCTGAGAGAAATGTGGGAAGTTCTGATCTGTGCACCTGTTTCAGGTCATTTATTCATAGTATTGAAGCAAATGGATCAGCGTAACAACCAGCAACTTCTTTTTTTGGTAGGAGTTCTGAAATATAAGCCCAAATGTTTCTGTTATGGAACTCTTCATTCACAGATAATCTGTCATGAAAAAGTTGCAGTCTTCCATTGATGTCCACTTCCTCCTCCATGTCATTACCTTATATAATTAAATCTAGAGGCTCAGCATGATAGACACAAAACTAGCATTTTTGGAAATTGGTCAGTCTCCCCACACCTCTCATTCCTTTATCCATTTTAGTTTTCTCTGCACAGGTTTCCTATTCTTCAGTATACATCAGATCGGGTCTTCTGTTAGAGCTTAGAATCCACTATGTCATATAATATTGTGTCTGGTTATATTAAAAGAAGTTAATCTAAACTAGAATGAATAGAGTAAAAATATGTATCAGCTTACTGGTGGTGTCTTGAAGATGTAGAACGATGACCCCTTCAGGACAAGGAATTTGAATTTATAAACATGTGATCCATCCGATCCTTGTACCTTCTCACTCACCCATCCCATGTGCAAAATCTGAGGGGAAACAAGAAATTACATCTTGTGTCATAATATATTAGGGAAACTATGTTATTTAAATGTATTTAGTAAACATAGATATGTTGGAGGCAAGAACAAAGGAGCATATACTGTATACTGACTGCACAGAGTTCCATAGAGACAGTGGGGCTTGAGATGCAGGAGGAACCACATGAATGGAGGAGAGCTCTTCCCAATAAGTACCTGTATTTAAGGTGCCCTCTGGTGTTCTGAAGGAGACTGTTTTTAAAACTGTTTAGCCATGGGGACATGCATTTGTTTAGAGCAGGGGTAGCAAACCTCTGGCCCTCCAGCTGTGGTGAAACTACAAATCCCATGATGCATCTCTCTTCGGGAGTTATGTCTGTGAGAATCTTGCAATGCCTCATGGGATTTGTAGTTCCAGCACAGCTGGGGGGGCCGGAGGTTTGCTACCCCTGGTTTAGAGTAACAATAAAGGATGTCAAAGAAGATCCAACTTGTTTGAGGTTGAAGCCCTCTACAACCTATGCTCACTGCTGCATGAATGCAAGCTAAAAGGTACAAAGTGCAATTATGGATAGATACAATTTTCAGTATGGTTAGGATAAACCTATGTGTAAAGTGCAGTAACTATTACCAACAAGTGTAAATAATATTTCACTATCTGACTACAATAAGCCTATATCTATGTTTGTTCCTTCCATCCCCTGGCTGCTTTCACTGCTCCACTGTGAATAGCCCATATTAAGAATAGAATTCAATACAAGTACCTCCAATGATCAACTTCTGTCAAGGGAATAGGGTCACCGAAAGTGCTTTTTGTGTACTCAGCTTTAAGGTAGTCATAGCTCATCAGGAAAGCAAAGATTTCAGGAGCATTAAATATAAATGTTCAGTTTCAGCAGTTGATGCTTTGTAATTTTAGCTGTCAATAATAGCTTCAATTACATGCCCCCATCTCTCACTGTATTCTCCCTGCTTGCATGCTCCATTCTGTGCCCCCTCTTATCCCTGCTGTCTTTGCCAACACAGGCGGGGAGAGGTGTGGGGTTCAGAGGGGACACGGGAGGACATGCAGGGGAAAAGTTTGTCAGTGCCCAGTGGGGAGGATCAAGGGGCAGGTAGAGAGAGTACAGAGCAGCGCTATCAGCAGTGACAGCCCAACGGGTTAGATACTTATTTTGAACAAATAGCTGTCATTTGGCCTCAACTGAGCACTGCATGGGTAAAGTGCTTGTTTTCGTTTAGGTGCTAAAATAAAAAAAGTATATTCACCCAATCCTTGGAGACGACTGGCTGTTAGACCGATGCTTCCCCTTCCATTGCAGAAGTCTAAGGTCTCGTAAGTCATCACATTCAGTACACAGTGTAAAGGACGTGAGCATGCCAAGGGGACATGCCATTGTTGCAGTGGAGAAGGAGACAGGTTGAGGGAGCACTGTAAAAAGCCGGCTGCAAGGTTCAGCAGAGTATACCTTTGTTATTTTTGCACCTAAATGAAAACAAGCACTTAACCCTTGTAGTGCAGGGGTAGCCCCACTGCAGGGAATAAGAAAAGTTCTTTAAAACAGTGTGCCAAATAAAAGCCTAAAATTGCTATGAATAAATGTATAACAATTCTATAGGTATGCAAATTATTCATAGAGTGATTGCCAATTTAAAGTGATACTAAACCATTGATATTTAGATGCCCAAGCCAAGTTTAACATCATCAGTGTGCATTGTTTAAAGTGACACTAAACTCAGGAGTTACATCTTAAAAATGCATTCAAGTACATTAAAGGAGAACTATGCGGTGAGTGATTTTCACTCAACCTCATAGTTTGAGCCGACGTGTGACAATGAAACTGATGTCCTCCCGTGACCCTTAGGAGAACTAAGGGGAAAAACACTTACCCCATAGTTCTCCTTTAACTATTAACAAAAATGTATCTGATTTGTGTCTCACTCGGCTGTAGATCCCCATATCATCTCTGAATTGGTACCGACACTGTCCTTCCTTCTGGAGGGTGGCTGCTTTTGTTCCCCATGGTCCCTGTGTGTGTTGTGAAGTAGTCACCGCTCCAAGCTCGCTTCCATGATGGACTGCAATCCCGATACAAATTAGTAAACTTAACATGAGATTGTTGTCAATCACGGGAGCGAGCTTGGGGCAGTGTCTACTTTACAACACACACAGGGACCATGGGGAACAAAAGTAGCCACCCTCCAGAAGGAAGGACAGTGTCAGCACCAATTCAGAGATAATTTGAGGATCTACAGCCGAGTGATACACAAATAAGATACATTTTTGTTAATAGTTGGGGTACTTGAAAGCATTTTTAAGGTTTAGCTCCTGAGTTTAGTGTCACTTTAATCAATGCACACTGATGATGTTAAACTTGGCTTGAGCATTAAAACATTAATTACCCCTGCTCATGAAAGGGTTAAAGTAAAAAAATTATGCTTTGATCTATGTAGGCAAATCACAGGTTTACTTTAAGCAAGATAAACCACTTTCAACCAGCTTTTGATCATAAAATGGATGCCCGGGTGTGCAGTCGGCTACTATGTTTATCTTATAGATATAAATAGATAAAATGATGACGCTAGATTGCTCTGATCCATTTAATCATTTTTCAATGGAAAGGTGATTGAACTTGCTAGGAAATAGCTGTGTATAAGGCCAGGGCATTGATACTTACTTGACATGAATTGCCACAGCGGGGATGCCGAGCACACATTGGCTGTTATAACTTGATATAATAAGATTAACGAAACCCTACCCTGGTCAGTAAAAAAGCGTGCCAGTTGTCTGTTTGTCCTGTAGAGTCAAGACTCCTATAGTGCACTTTTCAAGCACTGAATAGTGTGAATAACATTCCATTCAAAAGAACGACAGAACAAAATGTTACTATGAAAAGATAAAAGGAAGTTTGTGTGGTGTATTGAGTCCAGCAGTGCTAAATATGGCTCCTGATTTATTGTGCTCTATTCCTGAAAACAATGCTATGCAGACTGAGGTTTGTAAATCTTAATCAATGAAGGGTGCTTTTTGTAGTTTTCCCAGTGTGAGTCTTTCATAAATCCAGCAAAATCCAATAAACAATGCATTAGATGCAACATAAGTGCTTGAAGTGCAGAATTTATATCTGGACTAATGTGGTGTGGCTATATCACAATTTGAAGATCCAGCAAAATTATTTATCAAAGATAAACTGCAAGAATGTTTCATGACTTGGCTTTTATCACTTCTTAAAAGCCTTTTCTCTTCTCGCACTGATAGGCTTAAAAGTTATTTAAAGCTTTCTTTTCTCTTAAATATTATTTTAGATTTCTAATATTAGCATACCAAATGTAGCGTGAACGTTAAAGAAGGACTCCAGGTCGGTTGTTCAGGTGAACCTGTGAGAACATACATAAGTGAGTTGACATCTTCGAGCTGATTTATGGTTAACCGAACAGGCTTGGGGGCAGTCGCCTTGATACTGGCTTCACTACATTGGAAATCTGTGACCTTAAAGTATATCTAAATCCAAGAATAAAAGTGTAATATATTGCAGCTTTATTCAGGGGTTTTCCCCTCAACTTTCCATCCTGCCAGTAATATACCTAAACTTCATTCACTGTACTCTAGATATAAGGGAACAGCATTGTCGTCCTAGGGCAGGAATTGCTTTAGGACTACAAAACACCTCTCCACATCTCCATAACATAGAGTGGTTTCTCCTGCCAGGCCCTTAATCACTATTGTATTCTGTAGTGATGTAGGGCCTGGCAGGATCGGGAAGAAGAGTGAAAGTGGCACTAAACTCAGGAGTTAAATCTTAAAAATGCATTCAAGTACTTTAAAGGAGAACTATGAGGTGAGTGATTTACACTCATCCTCATAGTTAGAGCCGACGTGTGACTTTGAAGATCGGGAAGTGAGCGAACACATAACGGCACTCGCTCACTTCCAAATCATTTCCCTTCAGAGAGCGGTGACTGTCAGTCATGGCTCCCTGCAGGGATTCCCCCTCCCCTCTCCGATCCACCTTCGCTGACTGGAGGAACGGACGGGGGAGAGGGCGGGCACAGCTGGCTCTGAGTCTAGATAGGCAGAGCCTGCTCTTAATCAGCAAGCTGGGTGGACCTAAACAGTATTGTCGGGATTAGTGGAATTGCCCTTCAAACTCAGATATATACAATCTATCTTTTTATTAAAATAATCTATTGGACACCAGCAATGTGGTAATGCTTACACTGTATGAAAGAATAGGCAAGAGGAGGGGAGATCAACTGATCCCAAATAATATCTGCAGTTTCCTATTTTTAGCTAAAACTGATGTCATTTAACATTCACTGGTACTTGGGGAAACACACAGATGTCAGGCAGAGTTCAGATATGTATTCGCTAGTGGGGTCAATGTACCGAAGGAGTAGAAGACATTTACTTAAATAAAAAGCACATTTTTTATAGCACATGATTGGTTGACTGAAGTGAACACAGTTTTACCCTATTTGCAAATATCTATGAACACTTCTTACTTTGCAAAGTGAATTGTCTACTCCTTTAGTAAATGATCCCCACTAAAAACATGGCCACGCATACACTTTTTATTTTGTTTGGACACCACCATTTTTTTTCCAAACATATATTATATCAAAGTGATAAAAAACATGCACAAAATTTCTTACACTCAATCAAATTATTTTGTACTTAACACCTCGATTAAAATATATATGTAGACATCTTTTAGAACTACTTTACAACTGAATGATATGTGAGCAGATGTCTCTTAAAGTGACACTGAAATTAAATTTAAAAAATGAATTCACGTACCTCAGCTATTAACAGAAATGTATCTTATTTGTGTATCACTCAGCTGTAGATCCTCAAATCATCTCTGAATTGGTGCTGACACTGTCCTTCCTGCTGGAGGGTGGCTACTTTTGTTCCCCATGGTCCCTGTGTGTGTTGTAAAGTAGCCACCACTTCAAGCTCACTCCTGTGATGGACTATAATCTGACATTTAGTTTGCTTATTTGTATTG